TTGGCCCAGCTTTCTAATCTATTAAGGTCATTTTGAATTTTCATCCTGTCCTCTGGGGTATTAGCTATTCCTCCTCGACCGACGTTCTCAGGCCTTTCATTCGGCCAAGATAAAGTATCCTTACCTGCGGTGCCTCCCGCTCCTTCTTCTCTGGCTGACTCAGGAGGAAACCCGCTGCCAGGGCCACCGCCTGGGAAGGGGTCGCTGCCCCACATGCCCTGACCCAACTTGCCACGTCCGGAGGGAGGACAGCCAGGTATTGCTCCAGGATCACCTGGTCCAGCATCTGACCCTTGGTGTGTGGCTCGGGCTTCAGCCACGGATGATAGAGCATATAGAGTTGGCTGCAGATCTCTCGGGGCACTTGAGCCTCCGGGTCCGGGTAGCGGATCTCCCCGAAATGTTGGCCCCGAACGTTTGAGCTGAGCATCGCAAAAGCATCCCATACGTCTTTCCTTCCTAATCCAGAGCCAGTCGAGTCTTGATGCTCCATCTTTGGACTGTGCTCCAGGTCTGTGGCTGCTAGCGTGGCCGAACTCTTCCTCCTTCCTTTTGCAGACTAGGTCATAAAGCAAAGCTTGCCCAAAAAGAGATCACGCCCAGGACATCCGACAAGAAGATCTGTAAAATTAATCTGTATTAATTCAAGGTCAGGCTAATGACATTTAAAGGTCAAAATAACCTGGGACTGGAGTACAGTCAGCCCTCCTTATCTGCAGATTCCTTATCCACGGATTCATAGAATCATAAGAGTTGGAAGAGACCACAAGGGCCATCCAGTCCAACCCCCTTCTGCCATGCAGGAACTCCCAATCAAAGCATCCCCAACAGATGGCCATCCAGCCTCTGCTTAAAGACCTCCAAGGAAGGAGACTCCACCACTCCCTGGGGGAGTGCGTTCCTCTCTCAAACAGCTCTTACTTTCAGGAGGTTCTTCCTAATATTTAGGTGGAATTTCTTTTCCTGGAGTTTACATCCATTGCTCCTGGTCCTTTTCTCTGGAGCAGCAGGAAACAAGCTTGCTCCATTCTCAATATGACATCCCTTTAAATATTTAAACAAGGCTATCATATCCCCTCTTAACCCTCTCTTCTCCAGGGTAAATATCCCCAGCTCCCTAAGTCGTTCCTCATAGGGCTTTATGGTTTCCAGACCCTTCACCATTTTAGTTGCCCTCCTTTGGACATGCTCCAGTTTTTCAACATCCTTTTTGAATTGTGGTGCCCAGAACTGGACACAGGATTATTCCAGGTGAGGCCGGACCATCCATGGCTTGAAAATATTCCCCCCCCCCAAAATAAATAAATTATAAATTCCAAAAGCAAACTTTGATTTTGCCACTTTGCATAAGGGACGCCATTTCACTACAGTGTTGTATTTAATGGGACCTGAGCATCCAGGGATTTCGGTACCCACGCCTATTAAAACAGAAGTGGGCACAGTGCAACCCATCGGTCACATCTGCCCCCCTAGATTGTTTTTTTCTGGCCCCCATAATGCCCTAAACCGGGGGAAAAAGTATGCCCCAAAATTCTCCCTGGGATCATGGGAGCATTTTCACCAGGTCTCCCCCCCTCCCCAACCATCCTAAGTGACATCTTGCTTTGAAAAAAAAGGCATCTTAAAGAAGTGATTCCCAAACTTTGGTCCTCCAGATGTTTTGGACTTCAGCTCCCAGAAGCCCCAGCCGCCTTGGCCAAGAGTCAAGGATTCTGGAAGCTGAGGTCCAAAACTCTTGGAAGACCAAGAGACTAGAGTTCGAATCCTGGCTTGGCTTTGAAAGCCACTGGGTAACCTTGGGCGAATCACACTCTCTCAGTCAAGGGGTGCCTTGCTTGTTGTCCTATATGCATTACAGAGGCTAGGACAGGTTGAGTATCCCTCATCCAAAATGTTTGAGACCAGAAGCATTTTGGATTTCAGGGTGTGTTTTTTTAAATCCCAAAACACCTGCCTTTGCATATACATACATACTGAGATATCTTGGAGATGGGACTGAAGTCTATCATAGGGTTTTCTTGGCAAGATTTGTTGAGAAGGGGCCATCTCTGAGGCTGAGAGAGTGTGACTTGACCAAGGTCAACCAGTGGGTTTCCATGGCTGAGCAAGGATTCGAACCCGGGTCTCCAGATTTGTAGCCCAACGCTCAAATTGCGACACTATTCCTCATACAATAACGTCCAAATTCTACAAAACAACGACATCTTGACAAAATGTAGGCCTCTAACTCTAACACTGGCATATTCTTCTATTTTTAAAAAAAATTTAGATAATTTTTTAAATTAACACAGTACATAGTACAAACCATTCAATCCATAATTCATAATATGCTTTTCTCCCCTCTCCCTCCTCCCACAAACAGCATTTGGAGAAAATACATTTCCATTTAAATTAACAATCATTTGATTTAACAAAATTTAACAATCCTTTTCGGAGATGTGGAAAACATCATTAATTCTATTTTTTACTTCTTCATACCCCATTTTACCTTCCACTTTCTGAATCATAATTTCCCATTTATCACTCCACGCTTCTTTATTGCTTTCCCCAATATATTTAAGTCTTCTTTCCCTAAGAAAATCAAATAATATATATTCTTTTATATATTTAAACAAATAAAACTTAATCCAGTTTGATTTCTTTTTCCATCCAAAAGCAATCATTGCATGGGTCTCCTGTACAATTTTTAATAATAGTAATATTATTAAAAATTGTATAGGATGATGATGATGATGATGATGATGATTATTATTTTAACACCTTTTCCTGATGAAGAAAGTAGTAGAGCTTTGAAATCTTGCATGCATTTTGTGCATTTTTGTCGGCCCAAAAAAGATGTCACTGTTTTGTGTATTTTGGATGTTAATAATAATAATAATAATAATAATAATAATAATAAATTTTATTATACTTTAACATAACATAGACAGCCAGTGTGGTTTACTAGTTTAAGCACTGGACTATGACTCTGGAGAGCAGGGTTCGAATCTTTGCTCGGCTATGGAAACCCACTGGGTGACCTTGGTCAAGTCACACTCTCTCAGCCTCAGAGGATGGCAATGGCAAACCCTCTCTGAAGAAACTTGCCAATCATAGGGTCGCCATCGGTTGAAGGCACGCAAGAATACCACCAACTTAAGTCAGAAATGTCTTGATGGCACAACAACAAACACAATATAACAACTTTACAACTTTTATTGTATTGTATTTTTATGTTGGAAGCCGCCCCGATTGCTATGC